GTAAAGCTGGGTTCCATGTGTATAGCACATGGAATCCCATCCAAGTTGTTGGCAACTAACCTCTTTACTTCCTGTTCCAAGTTGTAGTCTCTCTCTCTCTCTCTCTCTAGCTTTCAAGGGTATATAATAACCACTGGTCCATGACCTTTTCATATCAAGCTTCAGTTACAAATATTGAGGAAAAAAAGTAGCCAATGTTATAGAGAGAATAAATTTGCCTTTATCATAATTGCTGATTTTGCTTACACTTTTATAAAGCTTGATTCAGTCACCAAGCTCCTTATTTCAGTAGATTGGTAGAATCATTACAATAAATAAATAGACAGTAATTTGAAAATAATTAACAAAAATAGAAAACCAAATTAATAATCAATAACTTCTCAACCCAAATCTAACCTACTGGATCAGCAGAGCTGTCACATAATTCTTTCACTTTAAATTGTGTGAGAGGTGGAGTTCGTGTAGGAACAAACAGGAGAAAAGTGGGTTAGTTGGACTAATTAATGTAGCTTATCACATGAATAAATCTTTTGGTCGGTTCACTTGTTTCCTAACCTTTCATTTTAGTAAAACYGTCCAACTAGGTTGAGTTTTGGCGAATAAAATCTTTAAGATGGGGCCTAAAGATTGAACACTGTTAGAAATTAAACACAGGTTTATGGTATATAGTCCAACTAGCTAGCCTAAAGCAGGACATTACAAGGATCACCTAATGCTTACCAAAAACAGGACACCCAGCCTATAGTGACATTAATTGCATTGAAGGAAGGGATACATTAATTACTATTATAACTATAATTTGTACTTTGATGAGTGGGTGATATAACAAACACATGGAACTCCTTTGGGCCACCTCATGAAATACCCTGATTGAACCCCCACCACCATCTTAGGGATCCAAATGGATTGGATTCCAATGGTACATACCCAGATCCAAATTTGACCCAATATTAATGTTTTGGTTCAAGTTGAATTTTATCTGTTAGGTTCAACTCAGATTCGCATTGGATTTATATCATGAATACAATAGCTTAAAGAAACTTCTATGACACTTGAAGCTAATATTCTTTATTAAAATATTATATATGTTCAAACCAGACTTCATTAATAATATAAGCGTATACACATGAGATCAGGTGGAATTGGAAAGACCCATATTCAATTGAATTATAAATGCAATGAATATGCTTTGCCTTAATCAGATTAGAATCAAACTCAAATTCAGACAAACAAATACAGTCCGTCGCCCTAGAGTATATATCCCATCATGGAATAAAGAAAATCACGGCTATGCAACAAACCCATCTCTAGTGATGAACCAAACCTAGTTGTGTACTAGATTGAAAGAGATTTAAAATGACCAAGGAGCTGACCAAAAAGTGTAAAGAGTTCTGGTTTGAGACAAAGAATACTTGGTTTTTGATAAATAGGAATCTTTCATAAGGAATATGTTTCAAAGACAAATAGGAAGCAATGGAGGTTCTGATTAATTTGATGGAGTGGTTGCACATAAAACTTTAGTAACCGTGCATCACCGGTGGTGGGTGTTCTTGAATAAGGAAAGTGTAAAGAAATCTCTAGCTTGATAATTAGGATAAGGCTTCGCTGATGATGAAAGAAACCTAGTTCCATGATAAAACCTTGTTTTTTTCACCAGGGATGTGATCCTTGATTAAGATTAGTGTTTTCTTTTTTCCCACAGGAATTCATCCATGGGCACAAATCACTGAACCATGTTAAAATCTTGTGTGTTCTTCTATATTGTTACGTCATTTTTCTTGTGCATTCTTTTGATTTCCAGCACAACAATTTTACTAGTCTTTGACAATTGGTCTGTCAACAGGCACACCAAATTATTTCAACCCATCATTGACCCATGAAGTCAAACTGACAATTGGTCTTGTGGACACTTCTTTTGGTTTTAAATTTTTAGCTGACTGCCCAATGGACCTATGCTATCATTCTTTTGAATAGGCATTTCATTTTTCTTAATGGATAAATACACATGCATTGGAGAGCAGAATTGAAGAGTCCAAATACAAAATATTCAACAGCCAGGGATGAGGATTAACATCCCAACACATCTCCCCCAAACAAAAATTTCATTTTCTGAGCTACAAGAAGATAAGCAGCTCTATCAATATTTCAATGAACGGTGGGATCAGTCAGTTAAGCTGAATACAAGTGTTGCACTGGATGGATCACCCAATTGAATCCAATCCATCTCAACAGCTCTCCTGATGACATCTGTCATCTGGTTAGGATTTTAGAAACAGTAAGTCGATCCCTTTAGTGGGTCTGTGGAAATTGTTTTGGTATTAAAAAACAAAACCTTACACATTGGCCAACCCTCCCTCAAGTTTCTGTTTCTCTTGTTTTCTGATTAACCAAACACTTATCAGGGAGGGATCTGCGGTAATAGGAATGTACTTTGGAGCATATAAATACAGACCACACATTGTATTCATGTGGCAGTCTGTGCTTTTACATGTTCGAAGTAACCAGTAGATCTGGAGTACTAGTGACCAAAATACAGCCTTAATGGAATGTAAAATAGGACTAGTGTCATTGACCACACTTTGCTCAATGTTTGGGTTGAGCAGGGCCGAGGGGAGTGAAAAGGGCACATTATTCCATTTCTCAGAAAAATGGGTACATTAATTCCAAGTGAAAAGACAAGAGAAGCCATTGTTGCTGGTCATCAAAGAATTGAGTGCTTTTGTACTCTTTGAATGATTGGGGGATGCCAGCCCTTTATCACAAATGCATGGGGGTGTGCCCAAATCACTTCTCAAGTGTAATATTAAAACTTTGTTACCTGATACCGAGGGGAATTAAAATGATTCCAGCCCAAAGTAACAGGTGCCTAACCACAACCTATTCGTAGTATTAGCTGTAGAGGAAACTGGGAATGTCCTCCTCCTCCTCCAGTACCAAGCTCCATGCGATTCTGAGTCCATCTTTCTTCCACTCTCCGTACCACATGAATAAAGCTCAGTTTACCGCTTCTCTTGGGTCAGATCGCCTCGTTTTAAAAATTAAAATAAACACACAAAAAGGACTACTGAGTTAAATAAAGAATTCAAGTCGAGTGAGAAAGAGAGAATGGGTGAAAAGAATTTTAATTTACAGAGATATCTAAAGTCTGTGATGGTGAAAAAAGATAGAGGAATTAGAAAAGAAACGAAATGATGGGTAGGGCGGTAGGCTATTGCAGGAAGACAGCAAGGAAGATGGGAGTGGGGGAAGGAGTGTAGTAGTGTTTTCATTTTCTTTCTGTGCTTCTGCTTCTGAAGCTGCCGACCACCTCTTTCTTTTTCTTTCTATTCTTTTAGCGGTCTACAATGAAAGGAAATGAGAGGAGAGACAGACAGACAGACAGAGAGAGAGAGAGTGTGTAACAATGTCCATACCCCCAAGAAGGCTGTAGTGAGAGGAGAGAGACACTGTAAAAATTGGATGGGTCCCATCAGCCATCAGGTGATCTTTTACGGTTTACGGAAACCAATGGGTCCCACTCCCACACATCAATATATCATTTCTTCACTTTTTTTCCTTGCCCATGCTTCTTCTCTGTTCTCTCAATTTCTTTTGTGTTGTGTCGTGGCCATTCAGATAGAATCTCTGGTTTTTCAAATCTTGATAATTGATATTACTGGTCATCCGGCATCAGTCAACAAACACAACACAACAGCCAATGGTTCAGAGGATCCGACATTTGCTCAAATTGGGTAAAAAGGGGCCTTTGATTTCATTTCTTTTACCATTCAAAACCCCGCATCCTGAAAAGTTGGGCTAAAGAAGAGAACTTCCCTATCTATGGACTATGTCTATGTGGCCTATGACTGACTGACCCAAAATTCCAATTCCTAGCCTTGACTGATTTTTGATGCACAAGTATCAGATTCAATCAAAGGTTCAAAGGAGCTTCCATTCTTCTAAAGGTCATTTTTGTCATTGTGCCCACCACATAGACGTAGTCAATGGATGAAGTTGGATGTCTTCATCTCAAAAATGACCGAGCAAATGAAAAGAACGATCCTAAAATGGGAAGCCCTTCTTGATTGGCCCAGCCCAATAGCCCACTATGATTCACCAACTTGTCTTTTTTAGTGACATATACGATATATCAAAGGGCAAGGGAATTTACGTCATTACGAAGAATTTAAGAGACAGAAGGAGAACCTGCGCGCCGTGTGCGGTGTGTGCCTGTGCCAAATCCGAATTTTCAATTGCGAGAACTAGTTGAGATTTCTAATTATAGAAGGGGTACTTTGGGATGAGAACAAAATAGTTGCCCGTCACTTTCCAGAATCCAGACGTTTATATATGACACACACCCCTTTGGGAGGCAATGAGCATTTTGGTCATTCAATCAAACGTCCAAACCTAACTATGTGGTGATTGGTGAAAGCGAGCTAGAGTGCTATACTTTTCAAAGTTCTGATAAAACACACTACGAGACCAACCACAATAATAGACATGGTACACGACCCGGATTTGTTGGACCCTTTTCTCCCTCCCACGCCCCTAAAATTACGGTTCGGATCAGGTAGTAGACACTGTGTTGTAGGAGGCACGGTAAATGAGCACTTAGAAATTTTTTTGACACCTGTCCTTTAAACCTAAAAATTACCGTTGAAAAGAAGTCAAATTAAGAAAAAGAAAAAACATGGGAGTGAACCTCACCAACTTTGGTACCTTTTCCTTCTTTTGTTATTTAAAATTTTGAATTAGAAAATTGTTTTCCCTTCTTCTTTAGAAAAGAAAATATAAGAAACAAAGAACTGTCAAACTATGACTTCCTTTTATTCCCCTCAAAGTACCAATTAAACTGTAAGCTGTTCTATGCTTTTCTTCTTTACTAAATCTTCTCTTTTATGCAAAACAAGGGGAAAAAAAAAAAAAACAGCTCCTGAGATACATTAACAAAAACATTTTTTTTCAGTGGCAAAACAAAAAATCATAAGCAGCAACAGAGCTTGAGAGCTTCAGTTAAATGATCACTTCAAATTTCTATTTCTTTCTTGGTATCACTTCAGTAAATGATTAATGAAAGGATCCATCAAATGTCACCCCTGTTAATAATTTTAACAAACAAAAACAGCTCTACATGATTATTTTGATCACCTAGCATCTTTATTTCAGTCTCAGACATTTGTTACAAAAAGAATAGTTTAAAAAAAAAATGAAAGAAAGATGTATATATAAAACATTCCACCAAAGTTCTTCCTCCTGCAATCACAATGCCCAAGATCTTCCCGCAATACCAAGCATCATCCTTGTGCTTAACCAAGCAAACTAAGCTCCTAGCCAGTGAGATGACCATTTTACTTTAACATAACGTGGGACCCCAATTGATTGTTTCAACCTTGGAGGATACAAAAGATATGCAATTGCTCTGATTGTGACTGGAATTACATGCTAACTAGGATAAGGTTATGAATAAAGATTGTGAATCACGAACACACCAACTCGATATCCACAGATTACAAAACTGGTCTGTCAAAATCAAATAAATAGTAGCAAGAATTAGACAAAATAGTCCAGATCAAAGAGAACAACTTGACATGTACAATTGAGTAAAACTAAGGAAAGAGAAAACGACCACACCTTTTTTGGGTTTGTGGGGGGATGGAAAAGTCACACTCACCCCCATTGAGGCAGAGAATTCCTTCAAAACAGCCTGTTCTGCAAAGCAGGGACCAAAATAAGATGAGAATAGGAATAAACAGTATCTTCCCTGAACAGAACTATCATAGGAAGATACAATTTACGGCACTGCTTTCAGATAAATGTGTCAATTGCCAAGTACAAATTCTATTTGAGATATGGTTGTTGGATAGATTCCAATGGCCCACAGTTTTCTTATTTGCCACGAGAGAAACAAAAGGTTCTCATATTCAAATACCAGGGATCCACCTTGTTTTAACTCAGTGGTGCCTTGGTAAGATCACTAGCAAGCTATCTCCTTATAAATTTTCACTATATATACCAGTGGTCGTTTAGGTAAAAGTAGATTAGATGATCACCTTAGAGACAATTCATCTCCAGAATCAATTTGTCAGTGAGATTCAATATTGCAAGAAAGCCTGGCATGACAATAACCCCAATTATAAGAAATTCTAGATAAATTCAATGATATATATATATAAACCTTTTCCATGTTTTGGTAGTTTACCTTCGGGGATAAAACAACTACCAACTTGAATACTATGATGGTATTCTGAATCTGTTAGTAAGTCTCTCACCCCAGAACTGTACATTTTCTCGGTTGGCAACTCCATGCCTTCCTAAAGATCAATAAATAGAAAAGCTTTTAGATTTGAACAATAATAAAATACAGAATACAAAATGGGCAATATAAATCAGAGAGAGAGAGAGAGAGAGAGAATGTACTTGAATGTGAATATAGATTGGTTCCGCTAATCCTTCAAAAGAAATTAAGTTCAGTGTATCCATGTGAGTGCGGCAACAATTCTTCTACTTCAATTCTGGAACTAGAACAACTCATGTTTTTCTTAATTCGGCTATGGTTTATTGACTCAACCTCTGCCACGAAAATGCTATGAACAGGCCTATGATCTGAGAACCTAGACTCTCCACGAACATAAGAAAGTTGATGGAGACCTCTTCCATACCACAAGATACGGTCGCACCTTCACATAGAAATTGAATGTTAAATCAGTTCAATGTGTTATTACTTGTTAGCATGTTCAAAGACATGTTTATGTTTCACAGAATACGCAATTTTAATTCTTCCTCCTTTGGAGTGTGTATGTTTGTTCATTATTCATAATTTTTGCTTCAAAAAATGTGCTTACCATGCAGGGGTCCGTCGCTTCTCTTTAGGGTATGTTTCATCACCAGCATATCTGTCTGAATTGTTCGAATATTTGTATGTAGGTGGAAAATATATCTTTCCTTCATTCCATCCCTCAAAGACACGACCCCGTCTCTGTTCTATCCGAAGCTGCTAAGAAAGTTGTTTAAGGTTCAGATTGACAAATTTCTGTAATTTGTAAAGGAATGCTTCCAATACAAAGGACAGGACATGCCTGATCATTTTCTAACAATGCCCTCCAGTTGTGCATCTCAACAAGTGCCTTTGCAGAACGATAAGATAGAGCAATCCGGTAATTCAAATCACCCAGCCATATAATCCGACTACACAAGGAAGAATGCTGATTAGAACTTGATAAAGAACATAGCAATTGCCCTCAATTCAAACCAACTCATTAAACAAAAAACAAAAGAATGCAACCAAAGAATAAATACAGCAAACAAACTTGTAAGAGACTTAAACTAATGATGAATTAACAGATCAATAAACAAAGATCTTACTCATGCTCAAGGATTGTTTCAGGGGACTTCTCATTCCCCAGCCCATGAACCCGTGGAAACCTTGTCTTCCTGAGTATCTCCATAACATCTGAGTTCCTTCTTAATTCATCACCTTCTTTCTGCCCCGATGTTAAATGACTACAGATGAAGCAGAAGCTTGTTTGGTGAACAGACATGCTAATCGATATTGATCCCTGGAAAAACTTAAGCATAAGATTGCCTCCTTTGCTTAATTCTTCGTGATTGGATTTCAAGGTATGGGAAAATTCCAGTAAATAGGGGATTGAAAAACAAGTAGTGAACAATGTACCTTGTTCCCAAGATAACCCATCAATCCTCTGCCAACACAAGACACTTTCAAGTTCCGCACATCATCCCTGAGATCACTCCTCACCCACACTGTAAGAAATATCCCAACCATTTGCTTACTTGCAACCAAGCAGTACCTGGAGTGCCCTGATGATCTTTCTCTGTCTTCCATTGCTGTGGATCCACCATAGGACATTGGTGAGAAGTACGTGGTACTTGGTGAATCCCCAGGCCCATTCTCATCATCAGAAGAACCCCACCTGGAGTTGGAATCAAAATCACTAGGCCTATGACCAAAAATTACCCGATCACAGACACTGAATCTTCTATCGAGTCGGGGCTGTGGTATTGACATGTCATTATCCATTCTCATGCTACGACTCAAAGACTGAAATGATCGGCGATGAAAGAAAGTTGAGGTTTTCTGCCTCGCTGAACCCTCAAAATCTGCATCCAACTCTACAAGGGGATCAAGAAGCGGGGAAGGTGTGTGATAGCCACCACTCCCGCTGGTGCCAGGAAGGTTATTCAAGGTCTTCCGTATGAGAGCCAGCCACTTTCTGGCAGGACCATTGTCTTCTGCACCCAGAACATTCCCGGCGTTCAGAGGAACAATTTCTTGAAACCTGAAAGAGAAATGTATCAAATAAAGCATATGTTAATCTTGGAGCAGTTGCAGAGAAAGAGAAGAGAAAGGAAAATACGTGAAGAAGCAAACATACCCGAGGACATAAATATCCGCAGGAGGTGATGTGTGGAGCCAATCTTCGAGATTTAAATAACTCGGAGGCGATTTTCCACCCACATTCCATGTTGCTACAAAGATCCTATTCTCCCATTAAGAGAACAGAAAAAGTTAAAACTAATTCCCGCAAAAATAGATCAAATAAGAAAAGAAAGTCTGCAAGAGGAGAGCGTACTTGTAGTTCTGCAAATCTGTAACTTGAGAGACATCGAGATCAATCTTCCCTCTCCGGATTCGATCAGAGTTCCTTTTATTCAACCTCTCTGTGCACCCGAACGGGGAAAACATAAGAAAATAAGCACGCTAGAAATCACGAGTCTCTGCAACATCTCCATTCACAATTATCCTATTTGATTTTTTTTTCTTTTTTCAGTTTTTGGTGAGGTTGGGAGAGGTGTGGTCCAAGGCTAAAGGTAGTCTGATACTAAACCTGTTTTACTTTTCTTGACTGTGCATGCCTCCCGCTCTGAAAAACTGTTCCTTGGTTCTCCATCGCCACCTGAAAAAGAAGAAACATAAAGTTGTTAAAGCTGCTGTCGATTACTGTTTATGCATTAACCTCACATCTTAAAACGCTAAAAACAAAAAAGAAAAAAATTCGAACTTCAACTAGAAGATGGGATCTTAAGCCGTGAAAAGAATTTGCAGAACCCATTAAATCCAAAAGACAGTTGCAGAAGATAAACAATGATGGAGAAGAAGAATGTGGACAGAGTTATTCAGAGCCCAGCAGAAATTACAGGGAGGAATAAAGTCGAAAACTTTGTTGCAGAGTTAAACCCATTTTTCCCTCTAATGTCGAAGGCAAGATTCATATCCCCTAAACCCTAATTTCTATAAGAGGAAACCATCATGTGCAAACAAATAACAGAACTCAAATCTCAGAAAAGATCCAGAAGGTGAACAGAATCCGGCTTGGGAAGAAAAATGTCACACCTTCATAAACTACATCGTCTGCATGAAAATCCTCAGCTTTGCTCTTGATGTTGAACCACTTCCTGACCAGAGTCTTCGACCATGAGAGCTTCAGTCACATAAAAACAGAAACACGAAGCACAAAGAAAGTCAGCAATTTCAAAAGATAAAATACCAAAATGCAGGAAACTAAACAGAAGAAAAAAAAAACAACGTTTCGCAAAACCTTGCTTTTCTTCGGGTTCCCATCTTTCATTGTTTCACCACCTCTTCATACAGCTATCCTGCTTACAAGTTACAATGGACTGATGAATGCTATTTTCTATTTCCGCTTTCCTGTTCCTCGGTTTCTCGGTTTGGTTTAGAATGGAGTGATGAATGAAATCAAACTAGAACGGGTACCTCAGCAATTCAAAGGAAAGAACCCCAGATAGGGATTCTTCCCCAATTTCTACGTATTTTCACTAGAAAGAGAAGGGGATCAGAAAGAAGAAGTTCAGTTTTCTGTATCTCTTGGTCTTTGCCTTCTCAAATTGATGCAGACAAGCTCATTACTTAATAGTAAGACGAAAACAACGAATGAGCATTCTCCTATTCACGGCTCTCCCGGTTCATCACCCAGAAAGAAACGGAACTGAAGAAAAGAATATCAGATTCTTCATGTTTGCGTGCCTGGATGTTCTACACTGAATAGGATACAAGAGACTCAATTCAAGAAGCCAAAACAGATGGGGTTTTCACTCTCTTCCTCTTCTGGTTCTGGGTTTGTCTATAGAAAACATGAAGAAAAGAAAAAGAAACTCACGAATTCAAAACTGAGAGAACAGAGAGACAACACACTAATTCGTGGAAGTGAGATGGGATTTGAACGTTTAACAAGACAATGTAGCGGACATAAAGAGAGAGAAGGGTCTCCTCTCCTCAAAACCTCGTTCTTGGTACAGCTAAGTATCGAATTTGAAGAGAAGTGCAGAGGAGCTCGCTCTCGAGGCCTTTTAACCCAAATCCAAGGCCAACGCAACACAACAACAGAGTGCGATTGCGATGGATATATCGGTCACTCCCCTTAACACAAAAGAAAAAAAATGCCCGGGCACGGGCAGCTGCCCGTCCTTCCCCTCCCTCGCCGAACTACCCCTGCTCCCGGTCAGCAAAGTTAAGGGTCATCTAATACTCGAGCTGTACCCTTCCTCCCATTTGGTCTTCCATGAGAAAAAGGCAATTTAAAATAAAAAAGATAAAGCGGAATGTATGAAGAGTTTTGTTCCTATTTCTTTGCCTTTCTTCTTTTTCAATTTTTTGAAAACCCAAAACCAGTCTCCCAATTTATACTGTAGAATGTAGGCATACAAGGGCCTACTTCATTTCTTGATGTCTTAGGGGCATGTGTGGTTTTATTATTGGGGAATGTTTGGAGGGAATATTTTGTATGGGAAGCTGTGGACTTCCAATTTGTTCTATTATATGCTCTTTTTAAATATTTTCTGGGTTCGAGGCTTTGAGGATTTTCAAGGTTTCTGGGGTTTCTTGGTCACTATTATTTTGTTTGTCTGATGGGGTTCTTGGGTTTAACTTTTGTTCTAGTGTATCTCCTCAAAAAACTTCTTTTGTTGCTATTTTGTGGAACCAATGTGTTAGTTTGTTTCTCCCTATATTGAGAATTGGATTGCATGGAAGTGGGAGATTGTTAGACAATTTTGAGATCCTTTTGACTCAATCTAGACTTATGTCTAGGGTAACCAAGGCAGCTATCCCAAATTTTAAGGCTTGGGGTGATGTTTTTATTGGTCCAGTACTTGGTAGTTACCAATTTTGTATCCATGGGAAGGGAACCTAAAATGCATTGGTAAAGGATCTTGTTGGGCTATTCAGGGCTCTTAAATCTACCTCACCTTACCCTACTAACTTCAGCCCAGTCCCYATCTTGGGGGACTGTGTAAAACTAATATGTCCTCTCTCTCTCTCTCCAAGTCTCCAGAGTTCGAAAATCTTCTTTGACCAACCTTCAAACACATGCCTCATGTGGGAGAGTGTGTTTGGTTTCTTTTGGCTTAGTCTAACTTCTCATAATTCTCAGGGTCTCTTGCAATCAAGTACTGTATTAATTTATGTGTTTAACCTCTAAACTAATCTAGTTGACAGCCGAACAATCCAAGCCCCGGCCCCATAAGCCCTACTATACATATCCAAAATGAGAAATTCCCTAAGAAAAAACTCAAACCCTCCACTCCCACTACCCTAGTGAAGCTTCCACTACCATCATAGTCCAAATGGGTCCCAATTAAGGGGTAATTAAGACTTATGTAGGTCACTGTAATCTGTAATTGCCTAACCCAAAAGCTTTATTATAGCTGTGGATCATCATTTGTGGCTGTGGAGGGACATGGGCATTAGTAAGCAAAAGTGGCCTCTCCTGTCAATTCTGCTTACCAACGTTTAAATGTTTAACGCGTAGACTCCCACATGAGTTTTTGAGTTATGTCCATGTCAGGGCCATCGAATTCCAATGGGTTAAAATCAATATAAGCATTATAAGTTGGCAAGGGAATTTGCTTTTTGTATGAATTCTAGAATCAATAAATGTCTTTGTTTGGCTTCCCTTAAATGTTGTGGGTCTTACTTAGGAATCGTTTTGAAGCAATGAGAGAAAAGCCAAGTTAGAATAATACTACAGCAAGCATGTAAAAAGGTGAAGAGTTGTATCAAGTAAAGAGTAATGGGGCCCTATTAGGGTAATTTGGTATCTAAAGAGCAAGAGAGGTGGCCCTACATTTGAAATCCTTTTTGTTAGGGGGACAGCATTTGTTTGGATTCCATAAAGACATGATGAATATATGAATCCCAATTCCCATCCCCCTCTTCTATGGATTATACACCATGTGGTGCATCAACCGTCAGATTATAGCTTAGAAAACCAATCTAAGCCATCTATCTATACCATCAATTTTTTCAGCTTAACAAACATTCAGGGCATCTCTCCCTGTTATTTCCTTTCTTGCATTAATTTGGCCAATAAAATGGTCTGTTGAGTCTTTGAAAAAAACCCTGAACACTGTTGTTAGGCTTGGATTTGAGCATATGATCAAACCGTTTGGACCAGAAATGTCAGTCAAACAGTCTTTGTGCTCCATTTTTAATTGATGGTTTTGGATACACATTTGTTATGTCACCACCATATAGGACTTTTGTTCTTTTTCTCATTTTTTTCTTGTTTGGTTGAACATTTTCAAAATATTTTAAGCAATACTAAATGATTTAAATTCTATGTGAATAATTTTTAGACAAATATGTCATTTTAATTTTATAGGAACCATGTTTTCACCTTTTTGCCTATGTGGCGCTTACATCTGTTTATGGGTTGGGCTTGAACCTATGCTCAGTTTGGAAGGAGTATAAATATAACTATATACAGTTCAAATACCTACAAAATGCAAGGTTTTGTACTCTACTCCTTCCAAACTGAGCCTTAACTTTTATCAAAAATTGAACGAACTTGGCCTAAAGCCCGAGCCCAAAACCCATAAACAGGTCCAGTGGTACTAAATAACGATATAAAATATACATAAGACCGGAATTACTTTACTAAATTCTAAGACATGGCCATTGTCTAAGAAAAGGGCAATGATACAAAACATCAATATTATTATATTGTTAAAGATTCATAATAAAAGCTATGTATTATAATTTTTTTTGAGCGAGTTGAACAATGGAACCAGAAAGGCCGGACCGTTCAACCCGTGACTCAGTGGACTAAATGGAAACGGTTTTACGTTCCTTCCAAGCCTGACAACACTGACCCACCATGAGAATTGAGAACTTGATCACATGGGACATGGCTCAACTTGCTCCTGGCACATTACTCTACAGTGCACACCCATTTCTTACTCATTTGAGAAGCAGTGAGTTAACTCTGAGTCAATGGACTGGTTTTGACTACTATGGCTTCTATCTACCATCACTATTATAGGAAATGAAGCATGTAGATCACGAGCGTTCAGGCCCATCGATTTGGTGTGGGGCCTATGGGCCACATAGTGATAAGAACCTTGAATTGTAAGCACACTGTGACTCTGAGATTTCTCTGTGATTGCTTAATACACAAAACTCCTACCTTATTAGCTTAAACAATTGCTAAAAAGCCCGTTGGCCATTTCTCTTTTGCCACGTGTCAATAAGAAAATGCCGTCGTCCAATAATCAAAAGGAAAATATCTCAAAATCATGATCACGAGGCAGTCAAAGGGAGATCTTTGATTTGTACTTTGAGCAAAGTATCTTCTCTCTCTTGGAGAGTAGGGAAGAGCGGGGTTCTGTTGGCTTTTGCTTTTCAGCTTTGAAACAATGAAATGAAACCCATCTCTTTGCTTGGCTCTCAACTTTTACTCCCTTTTCTTCTATACGGTTCTACCCATTTCAGGTGTTGTTTGGGCTTTTAATTATTTTTTGCTTTTCCTCCTTTTGTAAGGGCTTTCTTCTTGTGTCATTTTCTTCACCTCTGGCACTGAAAAAAATATGTTCAAAGCACCTTTGCCCCCCCTCCTTCCCTTTGCTTCTATTTTGAACTATTACTTCTCTCTATACACTATAGCTTGTGTCTCTCTTCTACTAAGTTCTAACATTTGTCATCTTGTACACCAATTACAGTTTACGTATTCGGATTAGATGTTTGGACACGTGTCACGCATGCAGGATCAAGGATCCACCTTTCACTGGATCCCACCAAAGATATCTTCTTTTGTCGGAGATCAATGTAAAAAGCAATTTCGCTGCCATCCGATCTATAGACTACTTTTTCTTTGTAGGACACGCTCTTCTATAGCAACACTGATTTTTGACCTAGGACCAGAAAATTTCTTTAGACTGAGGAATGAGGACGGGACCGACAACTGGACCTACTGACCTGGACTCAGACTACTACGTGGAAAGGAATGGATGGGTCTCTAAAGTTTTGGGTATCATCACAGTGATCAAACTCAACTGCATGAACCGGTCCAATCAATTCACGTAGCTGATGACAATGATATGGGACTACAGAGAACTTAAAAGGATCGTTTGGTTCGTGGGAATAAGGGTCTAGAATCAGAATCAGAATGATTGGTTGGAATAGGGTCCATTCTAATTTCAACCATTTGGTTGGGCAGAATTGAAATTCCATTTTCATTTTTGGTGGAATGAATTCCCTCATTTAAGGGAATAGACATTCCCTCAGCCGAAACTTTATTTTTTTTTTTGTTTTTTGTTTTTACTTTTTGGTTTTTGGGAAGCTTTTAGCATGCTTTTTATTATTAAAAAAATTGGGGGTTCGAAACACCTGAAAACAAGCGTTTTGGATCGTATCTTTTTCAAAAGATATGATACGATACGTTTCGTATTAGATGTATCGTATCGATACTTTGAACCATAATTCCAATTCCTATTTGAACCAAACAGACTATGGAACTTCAATTTTAATTCCAATTCCAATTCTGAGAGTGATTCCGAGTCTGATTCTGATTTCAGAAGTGAACCAAACGGACCAGAGAAGACCTTTAAGTCTTTAACTTTTATTTTGGGTTATTATCAAAAACTCCCTTTCACTTTTCCCATTTCTCATAAACTTACCCTGAATTTTCTAAACCTCCGTGTATCCTCTATTCCTCTTATCAAAGATTTTTTGTTCTCTAAAACTTACTTTCCATTAACTCAAATCAATGTCAGCGACCATTAATAGAAATTGTTCAATTGAGCTATTGATTTCTTTTAATGATCAAATTAACCCCGATTTTTGTAGATTACTTGTTTGAAAAACAGGTGCAAAAAATGAATGTAAAATGGATATCTTTGGCTGTTTTTGGAAATGATGCAAATAGAGTGTAAATCCCAAGGTAAATTTGCACTCTTTTTACTTTTGTCTGTGTTTGGTAACATTACATTTATGCATTGACAAATGAGAGATCAATGCACATTTACATTGATAATAAGATGTAAAAGTATATCAATAAAATAAATAAATTTACATTCATGTGGGCTTTGATAAATTAAAAAAAAAAAAAAAAAACATATACTTTATTGTAATTCATGTTTACATCCATTACAGCTAAAAGTCTATTTGGTAAGAAGATAAATTTGTCAGTATAAAACTAACCCAATTTTACAATTTATATCAACCATTTTACACTCTACATATTTACATTCAC